TAACTGATCTTGTTAGTGAGTACCTTTTTATAGACTGCAGCTACTATTTATAGCTCAGATGTATGTATGTATATACTCGTATGAAGTATAACTTATTTAAATTAATGAACTCATTAAATTTCATTTTCTTGCTTGTCCACAACCAGAAGCTTCATATGTAGAACAACTTTATATGGCTGCTAAAGAACCTTGACATTTATACTTACTCCTTTGTGTGAAAAGATGCTTTTCATATAGCACTTTTTCTACTCTTAGCCCCCTTTCTCTCCCCTTCTAATCGAGCCATTTTCAAAGCCAACTCCAATCACCGCCATAAAGAATTGATTACAAACACTTTTAATTACAAGCATGTATTTTGCTTTGCGAATTTTCATTTAACATCGACTGGAAATTAGCAAATGAAGTTGTTTTTTTACTTGTTCCCGTGGGCGAATGCAGAAAAAAACCAAATCGTCATACAAATGACCAGTTTTTCGTATTTGCAAGTGGAATTTTTCGGTTGTTCGGTTGTTAGCTTACGGCAGCACAAGTGAATGCAGCTGACTTTTATTTAATAGCAACAAGCGACACAAGTGTTAACAATTTTGTAAATAGATGAACGACATGTGCGCAAGCGTAGAGGCTTTAGGCTGCGAAAGGGCAACGCTTTTGTCCAGTAGCAAAAAGGGTATTAAGAATTGCGCTAATGGTGATTGCTTGCAATAAATAAGTACTTTTTTAAGTTTGATACTTTGCCATCTCTGGGCTGGCAAAGATCGAGAGAGTTTCTAGTAAAACACTTACTTAAAAAACAGTAACTGTCTTTCAACTCGCCACAGTCTTTGCATGTATGTATATTTTTTTCCATTTTAAACAATAAAAATTAAGAATTTAAAGAAAATTAAATTAAAAAATTTAAGAAAAATATTAATTTCAATTTATTATTTTTTTTTAAACTAAATTATATTATAAATAGTTTTCTTTTTAAAACAACAAAATCTAAAAATTAGATTAAAAGTAAATTAGAAAAGAAACAATAATAAAAGAAAAAGTAAAATAGGTTCCTAAAAATTAAATAAAATAAAATAAAAATATTTTTAATTTTTAACATAATCCAATTCTAACAAGTAAGAAAGTCTAAGTTCGGGCGGAGCCGAACATTAAATACCCGGCGCAAGTATTAAATATATGCCTTTTCACCTTTCCGAAAGCTACCGCTACATGGTAAGCCGGGGTGTATCAGTTTGAGTACATTGGCGTCCTTAAATTTCGAAATATCGAAGTTTCAAGCATTTCTGAAATTTACCGTTATATGAAAAGCGGCCGCAATTTTAGTCCGATTTCAATACTTTTCGGCGTTTTGGTTCTATGGGGCAAGTACAATAACCACACCGAGTTTGGTACAAATTGGTAGAACGGTTACCGATATACTTATATGTGATCATAAGTGGGCGGTGCCACGCCCATTTTCCAAAATTTTACCATAAACGTATTTCTTGGTAAAGAATTGTTGCAAGCATCAATTTTGAATAAATTAGCTTTAATATTTACTGATTTATCGAAGATTTTGTATTTCTCTAAATTACCGTTATATGGGATGTGGGCGTGGTTATTGTCCGATTTTAAAAAGTTTCGGCGATTTTTTATGCTGTACCAAGGCCAACAACTGTGCCAAGTTTGGAAGAAATTGGTGCAGCGGTTACCAAGATATACACATGTAACCATAAGTGGGCGTGGCTACGCCCATTTTCCAAAAATTTATAATATTCTTATTTTTCGTCTAAAAATTATTGTAAATATCAATTTTGAGTGAATAATCTCCAGTAGTTACTAAAATATCGCAGTTTTCGTATTTCTGAAAATTACCGTTATATGGGAAGTGGGCGTGGTTAAAGTCCGATTTTGCCCCTTTTCAATACCATCCGTCCTCCGCCAGAAATCAGTACACGTACCAAGTTTCGTTTTTACTCGAGTGATCGTGTGCACAGACGGACGGACGGACGGACGGACAGACAGTCACCGCTTAATCGATTTCTTTTTTCATCCTGATCATTTATGTATACATTTGTCTATATCTATCTCTATTCGTTTTGCCTGTTACAAAGAACCGTTATGTGAACAAAGTTATAATACCCTTGTGCACAAGTGCGCTCGCGTATAAAAATAAAAATAAACTTAATAACGGTTAGATTTGTTTTTGGGCCGTTTTTATTGTAAACTTTTTGTAATTGTTTTTTGAGCTCCAGGCAGAGGGTAAATAAAACAATTAAATGTCTTATATTCATTTTTCTTTATTATGTCTACAAGGCAAAACCAAGATTTCCTGAAGATGCCTTTAAATTAAAGGCGAAATATGGGCAATATAAATAAAAAGGAATATACGAAATTTAATTGTTTTATTTACCCTCGGCCTAGAGCTCAAATAATAATAGTACAAACTTAATAACAAAAATAAATAAATAAATGAATAAAATTAAGAACAGAAAAAAAATTCCCAAAAATTTAATTATATATATAAACATATTTTTTTTAAAGAAAAATTCTAAAAATTACAGGAAAATTAATAACAAGAAGAAAAATTTAAGAAAAGACAAAAAAAGAAAATAAAATAAGCTCCTAAAAAAATCGAATTATTGAAAGGTAAATGAAATAAAATAAAAATATTTTTATTTTAAAATAATATGATCTAAAAATAAAAAGAAACTTGATTTTAAAAATTAATTATTAAAAAAATAAAATAAGTTCTTAAAAATGAAACGAAATAAAAAATATGTTTCTTTTTGAACAATGAACTCTGAAAATTAAAAGAAAATTAATTTAAAAAAGTAGTATGTGTTAGGTTAGCCAGAATTGCCCTGTACATTTTATTTCCAAAGCGTAACTTTTATAATCGGTTATTCCACTCCAGTTTATCAAACGGAGATTTCTTGGATAAATTGCTGGTTCTAAAATAAAAGTATATATAAACATTTCTGCTATCTTAAAACAAAAGAATCATCGCTAAAAAATAGCTACTCGAACTGAACGAAGAGTCTACTAACCCAAAATGAATATGTCTTTAACAACAACCACATACAAGTGCATGCATACATTACGTATAAATATACAGTCAGTGTCAAATGTAAGTAACCACCTTGTTCTAGAAAATACGCTAGAAGTCGCTAGAAAATACCCTTCACAAACAAATATTCTAAAAAATCAACGATAACTTCTAGCGGGCACTTGAAACTTGCCTTTATTTACTAAAATTTAATGGGCTACAAAACTGCATACTCGAATATTTTCTAGAAATTCTGAATAAAAATTTTGAAAATTTGATGATAATTGTTTGAATTTTTGTGAAATGTATATAAAGTGTGAAACTCTGATTTATATGATTTATGTTATAGAATGAACAATATTTTCATAATAATTAATAAAAAAAAAAATGTTCATGAAAACAATTGTGAATATTATATTAGAACAAGGTGTACACTTACATTTGACACTGACTGTATATAGACCAGTTACGTGATAGCTACCACCATTGTTATTTCAAGACTCACATTCAACTTCTCGAAAGCTTCATACATTTTAATGCTTACGCAGAAATAGTACCCAGCAAGCGGCAAAATACCCTCGTTAGGCGATTCTTGGGAAAAGTGCGTTGCACAACTGCAGCAAACTACTTTTGCTGCAACTTCAATAATGACAGCCACCAACAGCCAGCCGACCTAAGCAACTTTTTCCGTTTCTTTGCGTTGCAGTTTGCCGATCAATGGCGAACGTGATTTTTGTGCGACAGTTTTTTAACTGAGTCGTCCCGCCCCCATCCACCACCACTTCTCCTTTCCTTTGCTGCGGTGCCATTGTTGCGTTTGTCGCTCTAACTTACGACTTCAATATAAACGTTCCTAATTCTGTCATTGTTGCATAGCGGCAGCAGCAAATTCCTGCATTGAAGCTGATAGTGATCGCTTTATGACGTCCATCGCATGCATAAGAAGTTAAAAAGTGAAAGAATAACGAATCGGCTGCATTGTCATAAATGGAAGAATACGAAAGTTGTCGCAACAGCTTTTGTTCTTGCTGCTCAGATTGCTACATATGTAGTTGCTGTGCGTGCACATTGCTTGCCCATAAGTGGCAAGATCGGGCAGTGATACCAAGCGCCAACGAATACTCCACAAATTGGAGTGCGTGAGTTGATAAGTTGTTAATACTCGTATTTAAAAAATGCATTTCTGGTACATCAAATTAGAAGTTGAACCGCATTTGTACTCAAGTCAAAAGGATTTTTCTAGTATTTTAGAACGAACATGAAGTATCCGAAACAAATTTTTGTTAAAAGGATTTGATTTAGTATTTTTAAAATTGGGGAATTGCGGTTGAAATCGTGTTGACACAGTTTAAGAGCAACACCAGAAGCTAAGATGAAAATAAATACGCACGTCTGAGTTAGGATAGCTTGTCTGTCAGTGCTTGAGATAATATGGAAGATACTCGTAGTTGAGATAAAGTAGCCATCGGGGTCATCGAACTTCGGAACTCTCATATTCAACATGGGGCGAAAGCTCTCAAATAAAATTTCAGCACTAGAGGTTTGCAAGGGCAAACTTCTCTTCTTCCTGGTGAAGAAAGATGTCAATAGCACTTTCTCCCCTTTAAGTTAAAATTTCTTTCTATTTTTAGATCTTATTGTTTTAAAAATAAATATACTTTTTTAATTTCATTGAATTTTTAGGAAAATTGTTATATTTTTTCTTAAATTTAATGTTTTTTATAATTAAAATTTGTTAAATTTAATTTTCTTTTTATTTTTAGATTTTGTTTGAAAAAAAAAAATTTTTATTTAATTTTTGTAATTTTTATTTTTTTTATCTGATTTAATTTTGTTTTTTTTTTCGTTTTCATTTAGATTTAAATGCTTTTTTTATTTCTTCTAGTTTTCTTTTTACCTTTGGAATTTTTTATTAACTTGTATAAAATTTAAAAATCGGATTTACACGTTTTTGTTGTAGAATATGCTACATTAAAAAATTATTATCAAAATTAAACAAACAAAAGGAAGACTGTACATAGTGAGGATCAAAAGGGTACGCTATGCAAATGACTAGAAGTGTATTTATCTATTTCGGAGAAGCAGTGGGTATAACCTGAACAATTTCGACCAAGGATCCAGTTCAACTTTACTTGCCCCAATTGCTCTATTCGCATGCTCAGCAACGCAACAAAGATGCATTAAGCGCAATATGCTCGTTTAAAATTGTATGCCACACTTCATATTGCAGACAATGGAGTGTTTCTTTCACCATTGCCACTGCGGTACTTGTGGCAATCCAGACTTTATTACACAACTGTCTACGTCGACAACAACTTTGATAACAAGTTTTTCATTTCGAGCGTAGAATGCACGCGTCTATTTCTTATTTTAGACTAAAATTGAGTTTCCGCAAGTTTTATCATCTTCTGTTCTTAGGTGCTTGGCTTAGCCAGCAGACTGAAGAATTTTATTTTCTTTTTTGCTTCTACGTTTTTGGTGTTACGCCTTTTAGATTGTCTGCATTTTTTTGCGTACAAAAAAAAAAAAACTTAAGTGGCAAAATATATGGTCGGGCATGTGACTTGTGGCAGCAAACGACAGTCAACAACTGCCACCGTGTTGCCTTCGCGCTGTTACTTTCGGTAGTTATGTCGACAACATATTATATTTGTTGCTGTTGTTAGTGTTTTTAGACACTCAGTGGGTGCGCGACAGTGGCACACTCTTGAACTTGCAGTCGACTCCTGAACGGTGGCAAATGTTGCACGTTTATCCACTGACGTGTGGCAGCAGTATTGTCAAAGCGAAAAAAAAAATATTGCGCTGCAAAACTTGACGTGCATTTTCACAGAGCGCAAATACCATCGCAAACACATACTACTCGCACTTATAAGCGCAAATTTTTTTCTTTTTTCAGAGAAAACTTCAAAATTTTCCTTCCAACATCTCGCTGCCTCCGAAGTTGATGCCAGCCAGCTTCTGCCTCGTTATCGTCATCATCATTGCCATCAATCGAATTGAGCTGTCGACGGCAGTTGCTTCTGCTTCGCTTTCAAATTTGCGCAATTAAAGGCGACATGACAGACTGACAAGCAGACAGAGAGACAGACATGCAGGCGGTACAGACAGGCGCGCAACCAGGCATACAGCAGCATCAATCTATCTTCGTTGGCGAAAATTTTTTTCGTTAATTAATTTAATTAGCATGCAAATTGCAACGTCACAACAATGCCAACAACGCCAGCAACAACAAACATTTACTTGACAAATTACGATAATATTGCTGCTAGTGAGATGAGTTGAAATCTGAAGTCAAACAAATTTAAGGCAGCAAAAATAATAATAAATTGATTGCGTTTTAATGTGCTACGAGAGCGCAGCGAAATTTAAAAAAGGAAATGAGAATAAATAGGCGTAAATTGAATTCGAGGCAGTAGGGAACGGCCATTCCCAATAAGGTTGGTTCCACGCTCCTCCCAAATGTGCAGCCTAAACCACCTTCGAATTTCAATGGCGAAAGGCACGGCAGATACTACACCCTAACTTCAGGCAGTTTAGCTCACCCAACAGCATTGGACTGCAGTGGCACCTCATGCCTCGCCTGCAACCCCAAACAACTAAGAACTCATTGACGCCAACAATGCAAGGAGGATAGACGGATAGCGATCGGAGATTTCTAGAACTCGTAACGTGGGTGTCGATCAGTGGCGTATACTTCGAATTAATGTTCCTACGACCTACACGGTGGACGACGACGACGATACCATTAGAGACACGCGTCACAACTATTTATTGCTCACCTGACATCAAAATTAGTAGTCATAGTAGTGGCGAAGTCTGCTCACGCTCGTATCAGAGCGCCGACCAATAGTGGTAAACACCGACCATTGTAATTGTAGTGACAGAATTCACGAGCCCCAAACCCACTGCTAAATATACCACTTCCGTGTGATGATCGCAAGCCCAAGCGCCATATCTGTAGGATCATTTCCGCTGGGAGAATCCCAAGATTTGTCCTGGGTGTCCGGAAAAATCTCGTAGGGACGTGTTCGTCAAATTAGGCCTCGGGATACGCGTAGAAGGAAGCTCTCCCTCCGCTGTTACGTCACAAAAGCGGACATACTTATTGGAAGTAAAATGAGCGAGCCCCTGAAAAACCAAAATATTTTCAGCCAACTACTGACAAGTCGTGAGCCACGGTGAAATCCTTCAAAGCAAACCAAATAGTCCTCAGTCAGGGTTTATCGATTACCTCGCGACAAACACCTTCATTTGCCAAGATTTGCAGCAACGCTAAAGAAGTGCAAAGACGTTAAGCCCAGAGGAAGTATCTGAAGCTGAACCTTTCACTGTCCGTCCACCCTCGTCATTCCGGAGATATGGATAAATACGTACGATCATTCCAGTTTTAAACCAAAAAGTACTTTAATGCACTATCCCTCCCAAACAGTATGCTAGTTTCTTCAGTACTAGAAATCTCAAGATTACAGAGAAGTGTCCCTGGACCTCCATTCCCTATATTTATGCTGTTAGCGATGCAGCGGTGCTTGCTTTAAAGCCTTTGACCTGATATTATTTTCTATATTCCCCATTAAAAATAGCCGTATTCCACCCATCGATATCCAGGATATGGGAGCTGCCATGAAACAAAAGTTGCATTCTAGCTCGACTAAGGTCAGGCTGATAAAACTGGCTCAACAGCTCATTCGAACGTCTCCCTTTAGAAGCGACGAAGGCTCCGGCGACTTCAATCCCCTCTTCGTATACTTCTTCAACTCGACGACCCTGAAAACAAGAGGCTTTAGATTAGCGCCTAGTCAAGTCGATCGAATAAGATGACAGCAACTGACGCAACATTTTTAGGGGTTAACTTCTGCAGCTGCTACATCAAAAAGAGTGCGCAATGTTCTCCAATTTACCGAAACGGTTTTAGGTCTCAAGCAACCAGACAGTATTTAGTTGATGTTTTCTAGAAAAAATATTCTTTTGGAAGAGGCCGAAAAGGTGCTACACAGATTGATTATTCAACAGGGTTAATTACTTCCTGCACATTTAAAAGAAAACTCAAAGCGAGTACAAGAAAATTATAAACTTAACCATTTCCCCGTTCCACTTTCCCATTTTGTATTACAAGCCAAATCTTTTATTGACACCGTCAAAAATTGTTATAACTTGATAAGTTAGTGTGAAATTTGATTCGGGAAGAATAAAAATCGTCATTCTTTTTGCAATAACATTTACAGTGCAGCTAAATTAACACTTCAATTAACTACTCAGCGATAACCGTAAGCTTAAAAAATTTGCCATGAAATTAACAACAGCCAGTTTATACGCCAAAATAGGCGTGCCAGTGCGTTGCCTGCCGCCCCTCGAACGATAAGTGGAGAAGCCAAACACCTTTGGGTGAATACTTTTCGGCGAGGTGTTAAAAGCCAAGCACACCCCTAACGGTATGCGGAGTCAATTTTTTTGTTTACAACTCGTGTGCCAAAACGGTGCTTTGAGGCTCATTACGATTATGGCGGCAAAGTGCTTTGAGTTCAAACACCGTTTTGTAGATTTTTCAGCAGTTTGCTATGCTAAATGCAAATCAATCGGCTTTGCAGAACCATAGTTGTTTGTGGAAAAGAAAATAAAAAATATATTTACAACTGGATGTTATTTTTATTGTTGTCATTTTGCTACTAGCCACTGCAATTTGTCATAGGTTAGTGAAGAACGCGTTGAAAAGGCGCTAAGCATGTACATAAGTCAGTGAGTGAGTGTCCAACGACGCGGCAAAAAGTTGCACTTGCAACAAATCAGTGTTAACGAGGTGCATGCATGCAGATAACAGACAACAGTGTGCGCCAAAATACTGCATACGCTTCAACGGTATGGAAAGTGGTAATGACTTTTTAACAATGTGCTTAACATCGCGAACAAGCGGACAGAGCCTAAAAAATGACTACGACTAGTGCAATAATGTTGGCAACGACATGCAAATCGCTAAAAGTTGTCATGGCGCTTACAAGGTGTAAAGCGATTGACATTTAACCCCCCTGGTTGTGCTGAAGTGGCGACTATTTGCAGCAGAAGCAACAACACTTATAGTTTTTATTGGCAGTAAGAAGACGGCAAATTTCTTGTACTTGTAAATTGCGGAAAATGACAAGAAACAAGATTTACTCTCGGCTTACATGCCCCCAGAGAAATTGAATCACGTCTGACGTTGCTGAGCTCAAACGCAGGTGGATCGGCGTCGTTTTTAAAATCTAATGCGAAAGCGCGGCACAACATCTGAGAAAGCTCGAACACAAACGGCAGAGGTTAGTCACTTTTTGAAATTATAGTAAGCGAGGGTCTAAGTAATCTAGGATGTTTCTAGCTGCCGCACTTAAGAAGGTTCTAGAGCTCACAGCAGAAGACCCAGTAGATGCAAGGCAACAGTGTTTAACCTCCCTCCGACCTCGTGGATAATCGTTGTCTGGCTTGGACTTATCGTCCGTTCGTTCGAATCCTTCTTGGCCCTAAGATCGCAATACATCACACCCGTACAGCAGCAGAGAGCTGTGGAACATTCGTTTGGATAGCTGGCTCCCATAAGAATTATGTGAGGTGTGGGTACATCATTACAGTTGGAAAGTCGTCTTACAAAGCAGAGCATCTAGATGCAGTTCGGCATCAAAAAGAAAATTTTGGAAAAAATATCGCTTACGTTATTTGGCGGTTAGGGCTCGATATGTATTCTGAACGATTTCAACAGAGAAATATCAGTGAGGAATACTAGTGAGGAAGAGGCCAATTCGGCCAGGACTGACACGTGCCTTTGTGCCACAAAGCCCTCTTTTGAAGCGGGCTTTGATCCTGGAAACTATAGCTTAAAACCTTCTTTGTCGAACTGGTAAACAGAAAATGGAGCAGAGAACCAAGATGTGTGGGCAGCAAAAGATCATTGTTGGGCTCATCGCTAACCACTGCATAACCGGAATACATGCGGAAAAAATGGGTTTACCAACAAATGAGTTCAGTCGAAGCCGAGAGGAAGGGATATCCGGCATTGATGGTATTCAGGCAAAGTTATCTTTATAAAGAGCTA